CTTGGCGGCGGCGATCCGACTGGCTTCGTAGATTGCGGCGCCCGTTTTTACCTTCCTTCACCACGCAGATCTGTCTTGCGCGAGGTCCTCCCGGTTCACTGTGTTGATTTGGAGACGCTTCAATGAGTTCTTCAGAGTGTCCTGGTAGCGCCTCTTTTGTCCTCCTTTGCCACGAGCACCGACAGCAACATTTCCATATAACTGTCGTTTGGGTAGTCGTCGATCGTCCATCCTTACCACGTGACCGCTCCAGCGCAGTTGTATCTGCCCGAGCATGGCTTGGATGCTGATAACTCCCGTTCTCTCCAGGACTTCCGTGTTCGGGATCCTCTCCTGTCATTTCACCTTGAATATGCGGCGGAGGCAGCTGACGTGAAAGTGGTTGAGCTTCCGCGCTTGGCCGGCGTAGACAGTCCAGGTCTCCGCTCCGTACACAAGTGTTGTGAGTACGACAGCCTTGTCCCTCTTCAATTTCGTTGGCGAATTCCGTGACGATTCCATACGGAGGCTTGGCTGGCTTTGGAGATCCTGCGAGCAACCTCGTCGTCTATTTGAGTGTTGCGAGATAGCGTGCTGCCGAGATTGACAAAGTTGTCCACATTCTTGAACACGGGGCCGTTGACGTGGGTATGTAGGGCATTGGGATTAGTGCCGGGCGGCGGTTGATGCATGACCACCGTTTTCTCCGTGTTAATAATGGGACCAAAGTTGGCGCAGCCTGCAGCGAAGAGGTCCATACTCCTTTGCATGTCCGCTTCTGTTGTGGTGTTGAGAGTGCAGATCATGGACTGTGGTCGTGGAGACGCGCGTGGGGGCCTGCATTCGTCGGACGTTGAGAAGGTATCCATCCGTTCTGTACTTGATGCGGATCGCGGGACGCTCGTCACGACAGGCGTCCGTCAGCATGGCAGGGCACATGAGACTGAATAGGGTAGGCGCGAGGACACAGCCCTGCTTCACTCCATTTGTCACTGCGAAGGCTTCAGACACCGTCCCGTATTCCGTGACGCGCGCCTTCATCCCGTCATGGAGCTGACGTACCATATGGGTAAAGTGCTTCGGACAGCCGAACTTCTGCATAACTTTCCAAAGTCCAGGGCGGTTCACCGTGTCGAAGGCTTTTGTCAGGTCTACAAAAGTTGTGTAGAGGTGATCCCGCATCTCCTGGCACTTCTCCTGCAGCTGTTGTGCGGCAAAGATCATGTCAGTGGTGCCGCGGTGACATCGAAAACCACACTGGCTTTCAGGCAGGAGCCCTTGTTCCAGGTGGCTGTTGAGATGATTTAGGATAATGCGGGCCAAGATTTTGCTGGTAATATTGAGCAGCAATATTCCGCGACGATGTCACAGAGTTGCCGGTTCCCCTTTAGCTTGTAGAAGTGGACAATTGTGGCGTCCTTGAAATCTTTGGAAAGTTGTCCTTGTCGCCACATCTCAGAGAACAGGTTGTTGAGATAAGATATGATTTGGTGGCCACCATACTTGTAGACCTCCGCAGGGATCCCGTCGGACCCGGGTGCCTCCCCGCTGGAGAGTTGCTACACAGCCTTAATGGTATCCTCAGGAATGGGTGGTAGGTCGAGGTCAGCGTTGATTTCCACCTGCGACAGGCGGTTAATGGCAGTCTCAGAGGTGGTAGAGGGCCAGTTGAACACACTTTGGAAATGCTCGGCCCAGCGTCTCAGAATTTGCGTGTTCTCGGTGAAGAGGGTGGTTCCGTCAGCGTTGAAAAGCGGGGCTGTACCTTTGACTTTGGGGCCGTAGACAGTCTTGAGTGCAGCGAAGAAGTTCTTCCATTTGTTGCGGTCCGCGTAGCCTTGGATTTCCTCACCATTTCGAGCCACTCAAGCATCCTGCATTTCCCGCAGCCGCTGCTGCACGAGACGGCGACTTTGGTAGTAGGCTGCTTTCGCGGCGTCGGTAGGGCGGTCGATGTATGCTCTGCGCAGGCGATTCTTCTCAGAGATCAGATTGCTGATGGGTGCATCCTTTTCATCGAACCAGTCCTGGTGTTGGCGGGGCGCGCGGCCAAGGATGTGTTTGGCATTGGATTGGATAGTATCCTGAAGTTGACACCATCGGTTCTCCACGGAGGCGTTCTCCTCTGCGATTGGAAGGTTGTCCAGCTGTCGGACCAGCTCATTGCTGAAACGCAGATGATTGGCAGGCAAGTTTAACAAATCAGTATTCAACTTACCTGGGGATCGCTT